GGGGGCATTTTGGCCGTTTATAACTGTTGACCAACGGTATGGCTAGATTTTTAAAAATAATTATCCAGGCAGGTCTGGCAGGCACAACCAGATGCACCGTCCCATGAATGACTCCCCTTTCCCTAAAGCCCAGCCCCTTCCCGTAATGGTCCCACGCCGATCCGGTACAAGTCCTGGGTTGGCCCCGGCTGTAACGGGCAAAATTTGCCCCTTTGACAACCTTACTTTGGTTTCATAAATCACCTTTTTTGTGTGGATATTATCAATACAACAACAACAACAACCCAGTATAATCCCACTTAGTGGGGTCTGGGGAGGATAGTATGTACGCAGACCTTACCCCTACCCTTGGGTAGAGAGGCTGTTTCCAAATAGACCCCTGGCATCCTTCCCTCCAAGAACTTCCCACCTTGCTCTTGGGGAGACTCGAACTCACAACCTCTCGGTTGGAAGTGGGGGTTGCTTACCATCAGAGCAACCCCTCTTGTGTGGATATTATCAATGTTGCAGCTAAAAACTTCTGGAATTGCTTAGCACAGCTCGGTCATAAAACTGTAAAGCCCAGAAACCTCAATCTGACTAATCGAATATTCAGAAGTTCCCCAATGCTCCATGTCTGCTTTTAGCTTTATTCATTATTTTCCTTCTTCTTAGCTTTTCATGGTAGATCTTCAAACTAACTTTTGTTCATTAACGACTAAAAATTCCTCATTAATGTATAGGCAATGATGGGAGTCATTTACTTTGGATTTATAGCTTTGAACAAAGATGATGGTCCAAAAGGTGGTGGAGGCACAGGCACCACGTCCGTTGACGACAGTCTAGAAGAAGCAAGGAGAATAATGGAAAAGTACAAGTAAGAAATGCAGAAATGGATCTTGTTCGCGGTCATTATTAGTCTCTCTGACTTGCTCCAATGTTACTAGTAGGCTTTCAAATCTTATAGTGAAGGAATCCCCTATTCTTGAATGTATTTGTTAAAGGGTAATGTGGTTGGTTGTAAATTTCTGGGTGTCTTGTACCCATGTTAATTATCTAAGTGCAGTGTCCTGAAAATTTATGCTGTAATGGTTGCAGTTTTTGTTTTTATTCCTAAAATTTCCTTGTTTTATACTGCATAAAGACCAACCTGTGATTTTAGATCTACTTTTCGCTTCTTAGCACTTTGAGTGGGCGTTTGGACATAAGAATTGTGAAATTTTCAAAAAAAAAAGTAAAAAAAATTCAATTGAAAATTAGAGTTATGTTTGGACATGAATACAATTTAGAGTTGTTTTTGAATTTTTCATTTGAAGTGAAAATTTTTGTTTTTTTCAAAATTCTGAGAAATTCCAAAATTCAATTTCACTAGAAGTGAAATTTAAAATTTTCTTGGTAAAACACTGATTCCAATAAGAAAGTAAAAATTTTCCCAAAAAAGGATTTTTATGGCCAAACGGCCCTTAGTTATCTATTACTATATGACACCTACAAACGGGCATCATAAAACAAGCTTGTACATATTATCGAAAGTGGTTAGAAGTATTTTCTGTCTTGTCCGATTTTCTTATGTCCGTGTTAATATCCACATTTCTACCACGCTCATCTTATGAAATGAACTGCCAGTTAAACTAATAAAAACAAAATTTCTACACTTCACTTGTTAAGAATGAATAGAGGAATAGATCTTGCAGTACAAGGACAACAAAAACATGACTGAGGATGAATTCAAGGATATTTTGGAACTGTCATTACAATCGGATTCTTCTATGCTGAAATATTACAATTGGTATCATTTTGGGGAAATCGATGTGCACACAAATTCATGGAACAAAGTAATGATTACAACAATTACGCCTTAATCCCAAACCAGTAAGAACCGGCATGGAACAGGTTGTAATGTCCTCCTGTCAGAAGAGCACCAGTGGCATTATGTATAAAATAATAGGAGTACATAATTACACAAGAATGGAATACAGCAGTTTACTAGTGAAGAATGCACAAAAACTGGAGCACATCTTTACTCCTCAAATTTAGGAAAAACCAAAGCAACTTTTTATTGAAAAGACACTTGATCGTTTAGGCAATTGCTCAGGATCAGGTTTTTTGCGCGGTAGATGCTTAAAGAAGGCTTTTACTGCTCCTGTGACTCCATCTTCGTTCTCCATTGCTTTGGCTAGCTCAACCGCTTGCTCCTTCACCTGTGCAACATCTCACCGATTCATATCAAAAACATTTCAAACATGCCTTATGTGAGAATGCACGAGAGAAAATTATTATTGATTAATTAACAATGATACAATGAGTCCTCTATATATATATATATATATATATATAAAACATATCTTACTCCTAATACATATGGGATTAGGATTATTTACTCCTATTCCTATTTACATAACTATTCTAACGCTCCCCCTCAAGCTGGTGCATATAAGTCATATGTACCAAGCTTGTTACCTATGTAGTTAATACGAGGACCAGTGAGGGACTTGGTGAAAATATCTGCAAGCTGATCATTCGACTTCACAAACATTGTAGCAGTATCTCCCGAGAGTATCTTTTCTCTGACGAAGTGACAGTCAATCTCAATGTGTTTAGTTCTCTCATGTAACACTGGATTTGACGCAATATGAAGAACAGCTTGATTATCACACACAAGCCCCATCTGACTAATCTCACCAAATTTCAACTCCTTGAGCAACTATTTGATCCAGATTAGCTCACATGTCGCCATAGCCATCGCTTGATATTCTGCTTCTGCACTAGACCAAGCAACCACATTCTGTTTCTTACTTTTCCAGGATACCAAATTTCCTCCTACTAAGACACAATATCCAGACGGTGATCCTGCCCAATCAACATCCGAGTATCCAACGATCTGCTCATGGCCTCGACCCTCAAACAATAAACCTTTGCCTAGAGCTGATTTTATATACCGAAGAATGCAAACAACTGCATCCCAATGACTATCACATGGAGAATCCATAAACTAACTCACAACAGTCACAGAAAAGAAAATGTCAGGTCTTGTCACTGTAAGGTAATTTAACTTACCAACTAACCGTCTATATCTTGCAGGATCATTAAGAGGCTCCCCCTGTCCTGGCAGAATTTTAGAATTCGGATCCATCGGAGTGTCAACAGGTTTACAACCTGCCATTCCTGTCTCCTCAAGAATATCTAAAGTATATTTTCGTTGTGAGATCACAATACCTGAACTAGACTGAGCGACCTTAATACCCAGAAAATACTTTAGTTTGCCCAAATCCTTAGTCTGAAAGTGTTGAAAGAGATGTTGCTTCAATTTAGTAATACCATCTTGGTCATTGCCTGTAATAACAATGTCATCAACATAGACCACCAGATAAATACAGAGACTCGAAGCAGAATGCCGATAGAATACAAAGTGATCAGCTTCACTCCGAATCATGCCAAATTCCTGGATAACTGTGCAGAACTTACCAAACCAGGCTCGAGGAGACTGCTTTAAACCATAAAGTGACCGGCGCAAGCGACATACAAGGCCAGGAGACCCCCCCGAGCAACAAATCCAGGTGGTTACTCCATATAAACTTCATCTTCAATATCATCGTGTAAAAAGATATTCTTAATGTCCAGCTGATGGAGGGGCCAATGGCGAACAACAGCCATGTATAGAAAAAGGCGAACTGATGCTATCTTAGCCACGGGAGAGAAGGTATCACTGTAATCGAGCCCAAATATCTGAGTATATCCCTTGGCAACAAGACGAGCCTTAAGACGATCAACCTTACCATCCGGACCAACCTTGACTGCATACACCCAACGACAACCAACAGTAGATTTACCTGAAGGAAGAGGGACGAGCTCCCAAGTATCACTCATATGTAAAGCAGACATTTCGCCAATCATAGCCTATCGACACCCTGGATGAGACAATGATTCACCTGTAGACTTACGGATGGAAACGATGATAAAAAAGATAGAAAAGCATAATAGGGTGATGACAAACGATGATAACTCAAGCCGACATAATGGGGATTAGGATTAAGGGTGGTCCGTACACCTTTCCGAAGTGCAATCGGTGTACTAGGAAGAGACAAATCCGCAGTAGGAGCAGGGTCAGGTGCAGGATGTGAATCAGCTGGGCCTAATGCGGGGTGCTGACGACGATGATATGTCAAGAGTAGTGTTCCTGTGGCAGGGAGTCTAGGAGTAGCCACATTAAACTCCCCAATTGTTGGAATGGGTAACACTTCTGTAGTGGAAGGTGAAGAATGAGCAATAGTAGGCTCCTTAAACGTCGGTATAGGGAAGACCTCAGATATATCAAGGTGGTCATAATGGTCAAAAGAGGTAAAGAAAGGTGTAGCCTCAAAAAATTGACGTCAGAGGACATAAAGTACCTACGAAGATCAGGTGGGTAACAACGAATAACCAAGGAAGACACACTTGAGAGCACGAAGAGCTAACTTATCTTTCCCGGGGGCTAAGTTATGAACGAAACAAGTGCTCCCAAAAACACGAGGGGGAACAGAGTATAAGGGTGATTGGGGAGACAATACTGCATACGGTATCTGATTCTGGATGGGAGAGGAAGGCATCCGATTAACTAAATAACAAGCTGTGAGAACTGCATCACCCCAAAAACGCAACGGAACATGAGATTCAATGAGAAGTGTGCGAGCAATCTTAATGATGTACCTATTCTTTCTCTCTGCAACCCCATTTTGCTGAGGGGTATAAGGACAAGAGGTCTGATGAATAATTCCTTGAGAAGTCATAAACTGCTGAAATTGAGAGGATAAATATTCTAAGGCATTATCACTGCGAAAAGTGCGAATAGAAACACCGAACTGATTTTTAATTTCAGCACAAAAATTTTGGAATATAGAAAACAACTCAGAACGATCTTTCATTAAGAAAATCCAAGTGCATCTTGAATGATCATCAATGAAACTAACAAAATAACAAAATTCCAAGGTTGAACTGACTCTACTAGGACCCCATATATCAGAATGAACTTAAAAAAAACACACTCTGCATGACTCTCAATACTACGAGGAAATGAGGCTCAGGTATGTTTCCCGAACTGACATGACTCACACTCTAATGTAGATAAACTAGACAAACTAGGCACCATCTTCTGAAGCTTGGATAAACTTGGATGTCCTAAACGTTTGTGAATTAGGTCCGGAGGATCTGTAACGAGACAAACCTTGGAGGAATTGAGTGAGTTAAGGTAGTAAAGGCCTTCTGATTCAAGTCTTGTTCCAATCGTCTGCCCCGTACTACGGTCCTGCATAATAAAGGAATCATCAATAAAATATATACCACAATGGAGGGCACGAGTCAAACGACTAACAGATGCAATATTAAAAGGACAGCCAGGGACATAGAGAACGGAATCTAGAGTGACAGAGGGAAGGGGATTCACTTATCCAACTTCTTTTGCTTCGGTTTGTGAATACGCATTATTTGACAAAAGTAATTTATTAGCAGAGATATGATCAGAAGCGGCTGAGTCCACAACCCATTGTCCAAGAGTACTAGACTGGGAAATACAAGCAAAAATATTACCAGCAACAGAAGTATCAGTCTGAGCAACAGAGGCTATTTGTGGAGATGTCTGCTTACTTGCTCGATACTGAAGGAACTCATTATACTCCCCTTCAGATAAAGAAAATCCCTGGTTACCTGTAGTCTCGGTCTGAGCAAGATAAGCATTTTTGGGTGGGCGGCCATGTAAAGAATAGCACACGTCACGAGTGTGTCCAAGTTTATGACAATAAGAGCACTTGGGTCTAGATCCGCCAAAACGACCTCCTCCTCGTCTATGCTCCATAGTATGAGATGCCCGATTGTCCACTGACTGGGATACGAGGACAGATGAGTCAAGTGTCTGTAATGAGCTCATTGGGTGACTTGGTGCTGCAGCAAGGCGAAGTAATCGAGAGAATAATTCATCAACTGTAGGGACAGTCGGACTAGCCAAAATCTGGTCACGTACTGAATCAAGGTCATTAGAGAGTCCAGCGCGTGTAAGAACTAGAAACATCTTCTGTCGTTGCTCTTGTTGCTTTTCAATACTAGCAGAAACTGGCATCAACGTCTCAAATTCTTCCATGACTGCCTGTACTTGTCACAAGAAAGTAGACATCCAATTCTTGTTTCTTCAACCTTGTCATTCGCGATATTACATCATAGAAACGAGATATATCATTAGTGTATAAATTACGAGCCTTTTCCCAAACTAAATAACATGTCTGGAATGGACGGAACAAGGGTATCAACTTGAAATCAATAGATCGCCACAGGATACTACATAACTGAGCATCGACCTTCTCCCACAGTATTTTGGCCTTTTCATCACCTTCGCTAGCCTATTTTGTTAAATGATCTTGAACTCCTTGACCTTTACACCACAACTCGACAGGCGAAGCCCAAGCTAAATAATTTGAACCTCCCATTAAAGGTTCTGAGGTAATCATAACACTGAAATTGCCAGAACCCGGATTTTTAGACCCGAAAGCATCGACTCCCAAAGACATGGTTGGATTATCACCAAATAACAAAAAGAACCAACTGACAATTCGCTGAAACAGATGGAGGAAATATTGTTTTTGCCGGAAAAGTACTGTAGCTGCCGGAAAGAATCAATGTAGTCACTGGAAAAAAACTCAAAGTGGTCGGAATCAAACGAAAACAGGATGGGTAGGGTCGGAATTAGTAGGCAACCCAATTGTTCTGAAAAAACTTTTGCAAAATCTGACCGGAACAGTGCTCACGCGCCGGCGCGTGGGGGTCGCACACTCGCCGGAAAAAATCTTCTGCGGGCGCGTGGTAGCTTTTCTGCCGGAGAAATTTTGGAGGGTTGGTCGCCGATGAGTGATTTACCTCGTGGTGGTGTTAGTTTTTGCATAACACTGATAGAAAGTGACTTGATTACGGACAGCCTTCTAAGTCGCTCTAAAAATTGTACGGCGACGAGGTCTTTCTTCCCGGAAGTCGTTGGAATGATGCACAGCGATAGGTTTCTCACTAATGCTTTAATACCATGTGAGAATGCACGGAAAAAAATTATTATTGATTAATTAACAATGATACAATGAGTCATATATATATATGTATATATATAGCATTTCCTACTCCTAATACATATGAGATTAGGGTTATTTACTTATATTCCTATTTACATAACTATTCTAACACCTTAAATACCCAAAATATTTCACAAACGAAATAAAAGGATATTGTTGCACCCCAAAAGTGTGGCCTATCATCAATTATGTGGATGAAAATCATGGAAGACTGGTTGAAATCTCAACCGAGACAAAAATGGTAAGTGATTTTTTTCCATTTATCCAAATCTAAGTGGGTAGGGTTACTCGGTACTGGTGCTGGTGTAAGATGGCAGGTACCCGGTGGAATAGTCGAAGTGCATACAAGCTGAACTGGAGAGCAATTAATAATAATAATAATAATAATAATAATAATAATAATAGTAGTAGTAGTAGTAGTAGTTCAACCGAGAGAACACGTGATATCTCTCTGAATTGGTAACCACAAACAAAAGTTTCAAGTGTCTTGCTATCCGGGGAATACTTAGCACATAACTTTACCATAAGTGAGGTCTGGAAAGTGTAGAGTGTGCACAGACATAACTTTATCAAATTATAGTAAAGAATATGTGTTGAACCTTTTAGTAAAATTACCTTCGGATCAAGCATGAAGTTGATTGCATCAACCAGCTTATCAAGTGAAAATTCATCGACCGGTATGGGTGGAGGCCCTACACCTCTGGCATGCACCCTTTCCCCCCAAAATGGCTGGTCACCAAAAAAAGGGACAACAGTTGTTGGACACTGCAATCCAATAAAGATGATATGTTATAGGTAGCCCGAATAGATAGTAGCGGGGAAATAAGGAAGTTAGAAACGCTACCGCGGCTTTAAGACCAGCAGCAGTTGTTCCAGCACCCCCGTGGTGCACCTGAAAGGAAGTAAATTTGTTCATATTGCTTATTATACAAATACCAAGCTTGGAGTAATTTAGTCAATCAATCAGCTAGCGCTCAGTCCCAAACTAGTTTGGGTTGGGTAATGAATCACATATTTTCGCTCTGCTCAATTCGTTCCTTTCCGTTCAAGAAAAATAATTAAAGGTTTTCTAAAAGTAGATCTCCCTAAAGTCCTGATTCAAATCAGTAGTCAACCTCCAGCTTGCATTCTGCCTGCCCACCAACCATTAACTTCTCTACCAATGTTTCCTTAAGCCACCTTTATCTTATTATAGTATAGCTTAAAGAAGAAAGATAAAATGTAATGGATATCTTAAAGAATGAAGGAAAAAAAAAGGCAAGGTTAGTAAATACTCACCACTGCAGCACACTGCAAGAAAAGCCAATCATGGGGACAGTTATCGAGCAAATACACAGAATCTTTTGGTTCTGCCACTGGAGCCACAAAGAAAAGCAGGTAAATAAGCTAATGAATACCCTTTCTAAGAGATAATCTACAAATACACAAGTACTATAGCAAAAATAATGGGTTATTCTCGTAAGCGGAATAAAGTAAATGCAGAAGAAAACTTCTTACTATTTCCAAGGCCACCCCAGCCTTTATTAATGATTCCCCTTTGTCCAGTGATTTCGAGTGCTTTAACAATTGTTTCGGTCATCTTCTCTGGCTCTTGAACAGGCTGAGATAGGAGAAATAAGTTAAATTAAAAGATAGATAATATTTTCAAGAAAAAAAATAAAGCTGAAGTCAGGGTATTAAACAAAATTTTGATTTGTAGCACGAGTTTAGAGTGAAGGATAGTTAGCATTATTTGAATTGTACTTTAAAACGCCTTGAACCTACTTTGTATAGCAGATCCTTTCCTAGTGAGCCTGCATTTTATGCGTCTCTTAATATGCACTTAATGCAGAGAGAAGGATCTGAAAGGAATAATAGTTTGTCGAACACAGTTCATAATATACATAGATAACCACTAACCACCGGAATAAACTGCAAAGGTACAACAACAAGAAATCACCACAGCCCCTTTTTCAAAGCTTCCTCAGCAGAATCAAAGAAGGGACAGATGGCTACATACGGAAAGATTTTTGCTTTCTTGCTTTTCCTTTTCTTTGGGCATAATACATCTGAACCCCCCTAAACTTGGCAACCGTTTATACAGTGCACAACTGAACTATTTTTAGTCCTGATTACCCCCTGAACTTGGCAGTTTGACAGCTTCGACCCGTAGACTGCTGACATGGCAAAGAGCTAGAATACACTCTTTGGAAGGGAGGGAAGAAGGGAATAGATAGAGAGAAAAATTATAAAGAAAGTAAACGTCCTAGAAACTCACAAGACTACCAAACCCAATGTATATGGGCTTTGGACCAGCTTTAAGCCAGTTTACAAGTACTTCTGGAGGTTCATAGCCCGATGCAAGATCAAGGAAGCAAAATCCCACCACATCAATCTTAGGTCCCCAATCTGCAAAAGTCAGACGGTATAAAGCTAGAGTGACAACTTAATAAACAGTAATGGCATCTCATAGGATCAGAATATGAAAAAGATTAACAACATGATGCACTACGAACTATTAGGCTCTCATAGGAGTAATGGAATATAAAAGGGATTTTATACAAAGTTTGCACTATATCAGATAAACAAGCTAAAGCTGAGAAAGATAAAGGAGTTCTTATATCAGGTAAAAAGAAATCTGAAGAATGAACCTTTTGGTTTAGGAACAAGGTGAGGACTCCAAATATATCCGTGTGGGATATCCGACTCAGAGCCTTGTGAACCACTTAAGTATGTGACTGGTCGAAGTTTCAGTTTTTTCTTCCTAACATCATTTATCATGTCGCGTATTCCTAGCCAAATCAAGGAGTCAACAATCTGATATGATAGCTGCACAGTTCGTAAAAGAAAAAACGTGAACAGAAACCAACCATTTTATTTTTTGTGGGAAGGGTGAGAAGGGACAATAACAACAACAATAACAACAACCCAGTATAATCCCACGTGGGGTTTGGGGAGGGTAGTGTGTACACAGACCTTACCCCTACCCGGGAGTATAGAGAGGTTGTTTCCGAAAGACCCTCGGCACAAGGAGATGAAAAAGAGGCAATGGAACAATAATAGCCACATTCGTCAAGAAGACAGTGCCAAGGGTGGGAAGGGAGATAGAAAAATAGTACAGTACATCATTGCAACATTAAATAAACACGGAAAGACAAGATACGAATGGTAGATGCCGAAATCCAACTTACCCTATATCCAGCTGGTTGCTTTACACGGGACAAAGGATGAGGAAATTCACTAGTTGGCCTGTACAAAAGATAAAATACATTTGATGATAAGTTAAGGCCCGGATCTAACTTGTCAACAGGATATCTAAATGGAAATGAATAGAACGAAAAATTAAGTAGCTTCCTAAGCCTCCATTACCCAAGCAGACTTACGTCCATGGCATTGTGAAAAATATATGAATCGGGATTTTCAATGCTTCTGCAACATGTGTATGCCCTGAAATGGGATTCAATGTCAGTAGGACATACTACTCTAATAACACTAACATATGTATACATCCAAAATGTTTGACTAGCACAACAGCTTTGACATGCCCCCAACAGAGTTGAAAGGAGGTCCATAAGCCATGCCATACAACAAATTTTTGAAAACTGTGTGAATCATCAATATTATATTTGATTCACTTGGACCTGCATTATCCAGGACAAGTGGAAACGGTCTTTTATGAACCAATAAAAGTAAGCCAAGCATGCATAATACGTCTTGTCCAGATAGAGAGTTGGAACATGTTATATCGTTGCCTTAAAAGTCAAACTCCACTAAAGATTCAATTGTACTAGCTGTAACCCACACAAAACCACCGATCAGATCAAATTCTATGCCTTATAACAGCAAGAACTAAAATGTTTGCAGGTCAATCAAGTGTAGTCACCACTCCACAACTGCACTTCAAAGTTCAAACCCAATGAAAAAGAGTTAACTCCTAGCATCCACAAAATATACTCCTAATCGAGAAGATATTTTCACAGATCTGAAGTAACGGCATAATAAATGTAAGACCCATCTTCCAAATTTAAATGGAAATATACATATTGAATTTACACACATCACACATGGGTCATCAACATTAATGCTTGAATGCACTTGTTGGATTAACATATAACTACTACTTTTATGCATTAAAATGTCGACTTCATGAGCACTAATCCAACATAAATATTTGAAAAGAAACACCACGGTTGTCCCCAAAAAAAGATAATTTGAAAAGAATCTCCAAGATAGCAATAAATTTTTTCATTATATTCTAGTAAGTGTTGGAATCAATAAATTCTCTGAGACAGTTTCTTTTCGATGATTACAGACTCTCTGATCCCTAGCCAAATCTAGTACATGTGAATTGTGCTCCACTAAACTGGAGAAGCAAAAATTGAGAAATATTATAGAATTTTCCCCCTGTGCTGCAAGAAAAGGACACACTTCAAGCTTGACACACATATGGAGAGTTTTCCCTACTATGTCTAAGGTAATATAATTTACGCTGTCCAAGCATTACTCACTTTACTTGCCTTGCCAATAAGAGAAGGTGCTTAGTATATGCTTTGGGATTGTACCTGAAATATTTATTCTAACTGCTGGAGTAAGATCCTTCTTTTTTCAATTTATAATACTACTAATTCCGCCTTTAAAAATAACTTGAAGCATATCACTCAATAAAAATATCAGCATATAGGAATAGGAGAGTTTGACTATAGTGAAAATTGGAAAGGGGCAAGCCAATACATAAACAAGGAAATGAATAAAATAGCATAGAAGATGCGTGAACTACTACTCTTACCGTATGCTGGGGGGTTAGCAATAATTGCGTCTGCTTTGAAGGGAACCCCTGTATCCATATCAGGTTCTTTGCAGGGTGAGAGTAGAGAGTATATAATATCCTTCAACTGAGCTCTCTGAGTAGGAATCTCTGAAGGTCCGGAAGGTAAAAATCCTTTGTTTTTAACCATGTCTGTATATGCAAGAGGAAGAAAAGTGTAATTGTCTAGTTGAATTGCATATTTAATGACTTGCAAGAATGACCGGATGCATCCACCAGATACACATTGCAAGATATACCAAATACACCAGATGCAACTACGAATTCTGTCTTTCAAATGACATGTAGGAAAATACACATCATATGTAATACTAATCCTCAAATTCATGCCCAAGAGAATTCACGAAAAGAAAATTCGTAAACAAACTATGGCATATGATGCAGTTGTTTAGTTTAGTGAAAATAAAGTGCAATTCCCACAGAGCATAGTTGTAGTGCATCTAAGTAATGCAATGCAAGACACTTATTTCAACTAGAGAAATAAGAACTTGAGTGCATCTAACCAGTGCAAGAAGCTTATTACTGAGTTATTATTTTATCTTTTTTGTGCTTATTCCTGAAGTCTCCCATGTGCTTTTTAAAATCAAGGTTCTCGACAAGCATGTAAACCAAGAAAAAGCTGGTTCTCCACCATTTATTCCAGCTTTAGCAGAGTTATATAAGTGCATGATGAATGGGCTACTGGATCTCACAATGTATGATTTTAAAAGTAGTAAACATCCATCACAAATGAACAGGAATTGCACAAAGTTCAAGAGAGACAGGAGAACCACAATAGATTGCCAAATCAGTTTCAGAACAAGCAGGAAATTTAGGAACATACATCCAGCCAAAATTTTTGGATCACCTCCAAGGGGATAGAATTCCAATCCAGCAGTCAAGACAAACTCTTTGAAATTTGCATGCGTCGCCAACCTCACTCGATGGCCAAAATCCTGCATCAGACAGTTCTGTCAACAAACTAGTATAGACCATGGCATACTTTTTCAATTATGACAAGGAATGACAAATTATTAAAAGTTCTTTTTGACGGAAGTTCACAATGCACCACATAAAGTCCAACTTCTACAAGAAAATTAGGGTCACGCAAGAACTCGCTCAGATGGTAAGCAACCTCCACTTCCAACCAAGAGGTTGTAAGTTCGAGTCTCCCCAAGAGCAAGGTGGGAAGTTCTTGGAGGGAAGGATGCTGATGGTCTATTTAGAAACAGCCTCTCTACCTCAGCGTAGGGGTAAGGTCTGCATACACACTACCCTCCCCGGACCCCACTAAGTGGAATTATACTAGGTTGTTATTGTTGTTCTTGTTGTTGCAAGAAGCAGCGAGGGCACAATTACTCTCCTAATCTATTAACTATTTAAAAAGTCAAACAGAATTAGATTAAGATCTCAGAAACACAGGATTCTCCCATAAAAGAAAGTTTACAAAATTTCATCTAACCAGTGACAGCTCAAAAAGTCAAACGGCAGTTACAAGTTTCAATGGTAGTCCTTGTAACTTATAACAGAAACGGTTTTCAATTACTAAATAAAATCTGCTAGATCCAGAATTACGAACTGAAGTTACGTACCAACATGTTCTATCAGCAGAAAAACAATGCTATGTCAATATGGGGAAGACCTTATATAATACATAATTGAAGCGGTCAAGGAAAGCGCCCGGGCTTTAAGAATCATTTCAAGTTCTATTTTGTGAAGGAGATGAGCAAAGAGAAAGAGGAAGGTTAGGCCTCAAATTGAGCAACCACTAACATGTATTCTTGTTTAGTGGCGTCTCCAGGCTTGACCATGTCCTAATTTGATTGATAAAAGGACTAGAGGCATGGTGAGTTTCTGTACAAACTCATGCAATAAGGCGTTAGGTCAGTATTTGAACGGAAAGGCAGTTACAGTCTAGTTTAGAGAACCATTTTCAACAAAAACAGCTTCCCAGAAAGCAAAACAATTAAACAAAAATTGAGCATTACCAACCATGAAAATCTGGTCCTTGATAACCTCGGGAAACTCTTCGGATAACCTTTTCTTACATTTGGAATGGGTTGAGAGGGTATTTGGATGTTCAGTGTCAATGACAAGCACTCAGAAGGCTGGACTTCTATAAACTGAGAAATGTGAGATAACTAGCACTACAGCCAAAAGAACAAAAACTTTGCAATTTTCTTAGATTTGCAACCATGAAAAAAACTTTTTTTTTATTTCCATTTTCCTGAGCCGAGGGTCTATCGGAAACGGCCTATGTGCCCCATCGGGGTAGGAGTAATGACTGCGTACACACTATCCTCACCAGACCCCACTTTATGAGATTTTACTGGGTCGTTGTTGTCGTTTGTGTGTGTGTGTTTTTTTTTTTTTGGGGCGGGGGGGCTAGCATGGCAGCCGAAGGGAAAAAAGTGGGAAACCGGAAAGAGAAAAATAGCATGTCCCTTTCCATTGTAGAATTCAGTACATAGAGAAAGATACACACCTAGCAGAGCTGAAATCTGTTTCGCCAAATTAACATGCAAAGAGCACATACATATGTATCTATAATCTACTGACATCCCTAACTCGTAGATATACAATCTGTTTGCCAAATGATGTCCAAGTACCTGCAGACGCTTTCCAATTGCAATAAAAGGCTGCACATCACCACGTGTTCCAACGATAAGCATTACAATCTGTATAGGTGGAATATATTGAAGTTCTGTTGCATCAAGAGGTTCATCCTCAACTGCGCTATGCACACTTTCAAATCCGGTTCCAAGCACTCTGGGTTCAACATCACCCGGAATTTCAAATTCTACAGTACCATCATCTTTGACAGTAGCTATTCTCTTCAACAATTTGAGCTGCAGCACTTTAAGTGGTTAACACACATCTCATGCAGTAAATGAATATATGTCCAGCCTTAGGGACATTACAAAATCCAGTAAAAATAAACAGCAAATGACAGAATATAGACAAACAAAATTATATGATGTTGCCATAAATTAAAAAAAAAAGATAATAATGAAGGCATTCCATATTAACTTTAAGATATCGTCATATGTATAGCTGAAAAAACTATCATATACACACAACCAAAAAGAACGCAACAGTCATGCTTTCACGAACACTATTTATCCTGGTTGACCAAAGCGTGATATTTAGGAAAGTTACTTTGCAGAAAAGAAATTGCTAGATTCTTTATCAAGTAATGCACTTCACATTATCACTTGCAAATGGTGTGTTTACTTGAGAAACCAAACTACTCATTCATAAAAGAAAGCTATAACTATATGTCCTGAGCTTAAGCAGCCAATGTTCTCCTGCAGCCAAGGAAAATTGTGTACGATTCTACTCTTCTTTCCTTCTTTAGGCCTTTAATTATAGGCATCATTAAAACCTCCATTCCCATATTTCTCTAAGGTAAAATTCATTCACTGTTCTTCCTTTTTTTAGGCCTCTAGTAACTTCTTCAGAAAACATGCTTCCAGTCTAATCGCACTACTATATATAGATTAATGTATGGCATCACTATGACCTCCATTCCATATTTGACTTATAACAGCCTGCAAAGAGCAAGTGCAGACAGTAAGGAAAAAGGAAAGACAACCCTAATTTAGAATCTGCCATAGAGAAATTGAAACTCAATGCAAACTATGAGTCGAAGCTCTGTTTTATTTTTGGTATAAAGGAAAACTTTTGGAGGATCATGAATCCATCTTAGATGCCCTAGGTTCATTGTAAGAATAACTAGGAGGAACAATGTCCTTTTTTGTGTGTAGTTTTGTATGGACACTCAACACTGTAATTATGGGTGACTTTACATTTTCAGTGAAGTCTTTATATTAATATACAAATTGTTACCTTCGCAAAAAAAAAGGCTAAAAGTAATTGGAAAAGAATGCAGGTTATGTTCAACAGAAAGGATAGCAGAGAAGGATGAATACCAGAGTGCAAATGAATTATGACATGATATACCAGAGTGCAAATGAATAGCACAAAGGATATGCAGGTTATGTTCAACAGAAAGGATAGCAGAGAAGGATGAATACCAGAGTGCAAATGAATTATGACATGATATACCAGAGTGCAAATGAATAGCACAAAGGATATGCAGGTTATGTTCAACAGAAAGGATAGCAGAGAAGGATGAATACCAGAGTGCAAATGAATTATGACATGATATACCAGAGTGCAAATGAATAGCACAAAGGATATGCAGGTTATGTTCAACAGAAAGGATAGCAGAGAAGGATGAATACCAGAGTGCAAATGAATTATGACATGATATATTAATCATAGAAGAAAAAAAAATTAAACTTGATGTGACATGATGAGATCATCTTGCACTATACCTTCTGTTGTTCAGAAATTTTATTATCAAATATTTTTGCTGCCGCTTGAGCAAATCCGCTACTATGTGTTGGTGTCTCAGTTTTTGATCTCTCCAACTTAAGATGATGTGAAGGTGATTGTGGCTTCTCAGAAGTCAAAATCTCTGGAGGCAACGTATTTACTCTTGTAAGTTCCATCGCAGGGGTCCCTAGCATATTAAATTGCAGGCTTGCGGTCAGTTTCAGATGGTCCATTTCAAAAAAGCTTCGGAAGCCACAGTAATCAACTGCATTTCCAGTTGCATAACTCATAAACAGTCATTTTCTAATTGTTATGCATAACAGATAAGCCCTGTTCATTCCTCTTTTATCTTGAAAGTTGTCGACAATTTTGTTTATATCTATCTTTACTATAGAACTAGAATTTGGTATAGCAATAATTGGTCAGACCTATACGAGGGAAATATCATCTCTTTTTACAGGCAAGGACATGTTTCTTTTTCCAAATTAAAAAAAGAAAAAAGAAAAAAAAAGGCATGTCATTTTTTTAAAGTAAAAAATCGAAGGATAAACATTGACTCTTGGACTTTAATAACAATAGGCAAGAGAAAGCCTATTCCCATAAATGTTCATCTATTTTGTCCATGAGAAGGAAGAAAAACTTTCAACAATGATGTTTCCAACTTCTGGTCTTTGACATAAAGAAATAAGTAATAAGGAAGGGGACTATTTGGTGCCCTTTCGCCTTCTATAGCAATTTCTTGCATCTGACTAGATATAGGCAACACATACCTTTCAATTGAGCCGCAAAAAAAAAGTTAAAGAGCTAAGCATAAAAATGATATGGAAGCTCATGATATCATCATTTTACCCCTTGCTTCATCTCCTTGTAATATGAAGGAGATATCTTTGCAAAGAGGAATCAAGTATAAATGACCTAGTGTTTTTCTTGTCTTGGTTTGAACCCGGGACCTCATGGTTCTCCATCCACTTTACTGATTTAACCATTAGGCTACACCCTTGGGCGCTTGGCTGTAAATCATCTCACTAAGGGAAAATGCGAATTTTGAAGTTAAATTATTTTTAAACAGAGGAAGGTGCCTTTTTTGGGGGACAAGCTTAAAAGGAAAATGTGTGACATAAATTGGGATAGGGAAGTAAATTACTTTATCTTAATATCCCCATTTTACCATGACTAAAGGATTTCATATGTTGCTTGTCTGTTTACATATTCGGCTACTAAAATGCAACAAAATGGCTTCCACTATGACAAGTCGTAATATATACTACTCCCCTCATTCCTTTTTCTCGTGCAGTATGCATTTTGCACACTTCCTGAAAGTATTAATTAAGTGTTTATTTTACTAAATTACCCTTATTCATGGTAATTAATTAAGGAAACAAGAGTGGAAAAATAATTAATTCTCTCTTGATTTGCTAGTGTGGACAAGTAATAAAAAAAATTATTCTTAGTATAATGAAGGAATAAAAAGGAACGGAGGAAGTAGTATTTGTTTGCAATTATATTAATTCTACTATTGACAGAATCCCTGAGGAATAGCAGAATTGGTTAGTAAGATTTCATTCGTGTAGTTGTTTGTTTGTTTACAGATTCGGCTACTAAAGTATTAATTAAGTGTTTATTTTACTAAATTACCTTCATTAAGGTTGTAATGAAGGATACTAGTGGAAAAAATAATTAATTTTCTCTTGGTACGCTATAATTAAAAGAGATTTAATTTATAGTATAATGGATGAGTAAAAAGAAATGAAGGAGTATAAATTTCCAATTATGTATGTTAATTCTACTATTGACAGAATCCCTGAGAAATTTGCATAATTGCATTACAGATACAGATTACAAACCTGAAGAGTCAGTAATGCCAACTAAACCACCAACTGACGCTCTATTGTCCACGGCAGCACCTTCATCACCAGTTTTACTGCCATTTTCATCACTGTCCTTCTCAACGGCGACGGAAACTTCGCCGGAACTAGAAGACGAAGAAGAAGGAGAGCTCGGCCGATCAAATTTCGACGACGATTCCGCCATTGGTAGATTCTTGAAACTTCTCAAAAGCTGTAGAATTTTTGTATAAGTCTGTTCAAACACATAGAGTAAATAGAGGAAGTGATGAATTTGCTGAAATGAGAGGGTTTTAGACAGAGAGAGAATGAGAAGAAGAGGAGAGAGAAAGGGTACCACGTTCAGATGAGTGGAGAAAGGGTCTGAAATTGATTGTGCTGGAATTTAGCAACAATAAAAATTAAAAGAAAACAGGACAAAGAAATTGTGCTGGAGGACAACGAAGCTCAACAGACTGAAAAACGTTTCATGGATTGAAATAATTTGAAATAATAATAAATGTATGCTACTTACAGGGTGATAAAAAAAATATTTAACCAGATTTCAAATTTGAGTCACAAATAATGTTTAAAAAGATAGGGGCGTGAGGAGAAATATTGTGCTTAATTAAAAAATTTAACGTATAATTCGCGTTAGTAACAATTAGACAAGTTTTGAGCGTTAAAGATTAGATGCATTTCGGCACTTAGGACATAAGTCTCATTAGAACTAAAACTCAGGGCATCTTAATAGTGTCACGGCCGGAACAAATCACAAGGCGAGTCCTAAGAAAGCCAAAAAATAAAGTAATTTTTGGTAACAGATACATGTTGAATACATGAGGGAAATTAAGATGCATGTATTAAAAACTTTAAGAGAGACATTCTAGCATCTCTGTATAATTATTCTACTTTTCCAATTATCCTAAGTTAGGATCAAAAGTTAAAAATCTATCATTTATGGAGGTTCTTAGTAATTATTACAGTATTTGGTCAAAAACCCTCATACTACGTCCTAAAGATCACATTACAACAACTTTGGAGCCCAAGTGATTGGCTAACCCTCATAGGCCTAGGATGGAATTTTTTTTATCGTCAAATTTGTGGAGGAGGAGAATATGATAAAAGTATTACACAGAAGACCGTGGTTCCTTATGGGCCACTTCCTCTCCGTCAGGAACTAGGAGCCAAATTTTGTTCCGGCAAACTCAAAAATTCAAGCAACAACTATATAGATTAGGCTACCACAATTTTCTACTGAGTTCCACAACAAGGAAATCTTAGAACATATAGGGATGAAGATAGATACGTGCACTTCTGCTACCCTTAGAGGCAGATATGCACGGATCTGCATCCAAGTGCCTATTGAGGTACCACTGCGAACATCTGTGGTAATTGGAGACCATAGACAACCAATCGAGTATGAAGGTGAGGGAATATTGTGCAAGGGGTGTAAGGGAATCGGTCACCTATCCAAGAAATGCCACTACAGGCATCATTAGAGACTGAGGAAAAATCAACATAGAGTCCATATACACAGGAAGGCAAAGACTAGAAAATGGTGGAATTTTCAAAGAGGACAAGGCAAATAGGAAAGGCAAAAAAGCCCCAAAAGCAAAGGTAAATGGGAGCAACGGGCAGTGGAACGTAAAGCAGATCTTTCACACCCGATTCATGTAAGTTTGTCGTCTTGGGAAACTATAGGGAAGAGGAACGTAGGAATGCAAATCTAACTGGCCCAACGAGACCGATACAATTCTGATGGGCCACCCAAGTTTAGCACATATTGGGCTAGTCAGCAAAGGCTAATCCGACCCAATAGCCACTAAAATGGGATACCGATAAGTAACTCACATTCCCGCACACCTTTTGAACACACATGTACCCTCTGCCCAATATGCCTCCCGAGGAAAATAACCCCACTTACAACGGGTAAGTATAACATACCCGATTCTATTCCAGAAATGGTACCACCCATCCCCATTAAAAGTCAATTGGCGGGGGCCATAACTAAGATAAAATCCTCGGGGGATACCACCAATATTTTTTTTTTTTTAATTTGAAATTGGCTTCTATTGATATAACAAATATACATATGAGTGTTCTTAATGGTAGTATCGA